AGGAAAGGTAGGTATTTAATACTTTAAGCACATCACAAGATGCCTGTCTATTTGTTTTGATGTCGGTTAATAAAGGAATTTTAGTTGCGTATCTTATACAAAATAGTTAAAGATTTCGGGGGAAATATCTTGCTAAAATCTCATACTATGCAAATCCTTTGTGCTACACTTGAAACAGTAGTCTTCTAGACCACGCATGTCAATTTTTTTTTAAGTTTTGATGTCAGATAAGCTCGTATGTCTCCACTTCTTATTTCTAAGTGAATTTGGCTATTCGTTGGCCCGGTCAATCCGATCCACGTCTTCTCCTGGTGACCTTGTTTGCTTCTCATTGGATGAAACTACTCTAGCGGCGTTTGCTTTTTCCTTGCACGTTCCTTGTTGAGGCAGGTTTGTCCAAACTCCGATTTTGGTTTTCATTGTCTCTGTGGAAATTCCCTGATATCATTAAACAAAGAGCAACGTTTTGGATTGCTTGCCAACATTGGCAGCACTTTCTTATTTTCCAATTTGTCCTTTTATTACAATAACTGTAAGGAAATGTATGTTCTTTCTTCCGGTTTGAATTATTTGTGTTTTTAAATGGAAGTTTTAAGGGGCAGATTTCTTTACCAGTCAGGTCAGACTTATTGTAGTCCCTTTAAGGGATCGCCTCAACACATTCTAGGTAGAAAACATCTTTTTAGGTGAATGCCCTCTATCAAGCTAAAGAAGTCTTCTAAACGCTATCGAATCGATCCAGAACTACGTCGAAGTGTCGGTCGTGCCGCTCCCGGAAGCGTTGAACGCCTTCAGTACCTCGAAGCTCTTGTTAACGAGTTGTGTGTTACCAATCTCATCGACTACAAGCAGCAGGTAGCACTCTATTTCAACAGTTCATGTCTAGATCGTCGCCAACCTTGGTAACTTTGCACACGATCCCCGTAATTGTCCGCATCTTATTAGCCTTGACGTCCATCTTATCTTCCTTGAAATTGTACGTCAACATCTCCAAATTGCCCCATCGGCTAGTAGCCAAAAGAAGACTGCAGCGACTTCTGCAAAACTCGTATCTCTAGCCGTAGCAGGGTTCTGTAACCTGATAACTAGTTCACAGAACCTGCGCCTTCGTTTCTCTCACAGCCATCAAGAAATCTCACCGCTCTTCACCTGCTTGCAGTCCCCCACTCTTGAAGCGGGGACTTTGGTCAACTGTCTTACTGTCTTCGTCCACCTCTGCGCTCCTGCCGTCCATTTGCAAGAAGAAAACTGTGTCTTCTTTGAACCAAACTGCTCAACCACCGCCTTTCACACCTCTATTCGGAGTAATTTTCCCACTGTGGTTGAATTTGCTCGTGGCATTTTGGCCGAGAACACTGAAGACACACGGCTTCGAAATCTTGCAAACATTTTTATCACAGATTGCTGTGGCGATACCAGTTATAGCAGTTTAGAATGATTGTCCTTAGTATTAATCGTTCCCTTTCTTTCCTTCGCCATCACCCTTTCTCCTGCCTTGTAAACAAGACCCGGTTCTGCTATGCCTCACGGCGCTGCTCCAACTTCGATGTGGTAAGTTGTAGACGAGTATTGCAATGATCAATAACCGGTTCACATCCTCTTTAGTCCCTTTCAAATAATTCATCCCGACTTACGTCAACAATGGTGGCGCCGCTGGCACCCTCCTTTGCCCCCAACACCACTGTCTTTGAACAACGTGAGTCACAGATCTTTTTGCCCAAGCATGTTTAATGGATGTCATTATCTAGTGAAAGGCTTGCGTAGCTCTCCAAATCGTCCTTGAAAAGTAGAAAAAAATGTCCAGCGTGGCAGGTTTACTGGTAGTCTACAGAGGAGCTGGAAGGTTGCAGACATGGGTGCTAGTAGGTCCTGGAAAGAGTGGAGATTCCTCTTAATTAAATACAAGTATAAACAAGCGTTCCTTGATTGCACTTGTTCTATTCTTGGGGAAGATTTAGGTATCAGTGAGGAAATTAAAGTGCATCGTTGTGGTGACACAGGAGAGCTAGAATGTCATAAACACGATTTGCTTAACCGATTTCGAGCTTCAGCATGGGTCATAAATATAAAAATTTATTGCAAGTGTAACGACAGCTGTGATCAAAGAAGTAACAGGAATGACTGGTAGCCTCCTCCAGATTTTCACCCCGTGGACGATATCCACCCACCTGATCTCTATATGGTCATCACTTTCACCCCTTTCATGCATCGCTAGACATGGTGGTTTTGGAGTATTTGACTTAGTCGTTCCTTGAAAGGGAGTACTTGTGCAACTTCGTCATGCGCTCCATACGAACTGTTGGATTCGAGTCTCTAGTGCTTTATTACCCCGACTCTTGGTTTTGAAACATTGCTAGCATACGTTTGGCTCAACTGATCTAAGCAGAGCGATCTGTCTTTTGCACAACACTCCTCGATGTGTCTGACCAATCATCTCTCGGGCATCAAACTAAACACTGAAACCAGGGCAACTGTTTGTTCACCCAAGCCTTTTCTATTGTTTTCCATTCATCAAGCAAATAGCGCCGTGCTATCACCAATCAGTCGCACTGGTAGAAAGCGTATTAGCTTAGTGAAGTGGGTGGGTGTGTGGATGGCCCTCTCGAAGGCACGCCTAACAGGTCTGGTAGTCTCCACGGCGCTGGCCGGCTGTGCACTGGCGGCGCCTTCGCCCCTGGTCTGTGAGGCCTTTCTTGCTCATCCCGCCGCCTCCCTCCTTGCCCTTGGGTTGGGTACCACGCTCACCTCCGCCTCTGCTAATTCCATCAACCAGGTATGTTGCCTTTGTATCTCCCCTGTTTCCTTGAAATAGTGCCTTTGGGAGTGTAATTTGGCCAAACAAGACTGAAGTAATTCTTATTTCCCATTTAAATTTCTTCTTAATTCTATCCTTGGAAGAGCGAAAGAAGATTTGGGGAGCCTACACGCCAAATGACAAACTAACTTGCCTTTAGTCTCCTTTCCAGATCATGGAAGTCCAATACGACAGTTTGATGAAGCGCACCCGAATGCGACCTCTCGTCCGCAAATTAATTAGGTAGGTTAGTGAAGGAGTGTTATCAATAGGCCATCCCATCGGAATTTATATCATAAAGCATGAATAGTTCGGCTTAAAATCAAGAGTTCAGTCTATAGGGTCATGCAAAAAAGTAGCTGTAATTGATTGCATTGGGTTTAACAGTCGTGTTGGTACTGGGCGAACGCATAAAGGGGATCTGAAAGTATATCCTCTGATGGCATTTTGGATTTAGTAGCGTTGTTTGTGGGACTGTTGCGTGGGTTATACACTAGGACAACTTTCTTGGTAATTTGATCCGTCTTGGCTGCTGTAGTCGTGGATTGAAGTAGAATACGAAGTGGCTACAACTGATGAGGCTAACAGTGCTGAATCATCAAACAGACAGCCACACTACCATTCGGGAGACCCATTTCGTTCACCTTATTGTAATGGTGCAACCCAAAGTGTTTTTCTCCCATGTCGTAACGACGAAGAAAGAATGGGAAGCTTTGAAGTGTCGGTTCCCTTGGGAATCCGTTTGCGCTTCATGTTGGATTCGTGTACTACGTCAAGACCTCCTACCACTACAGAGCAACATCCATGCACGCAATCTCTGGCAGATGTGTTCTTGCCTAGGTCTGATCCCTTCAAGTGACACGCCACTAGCTCCTCTGTGATCAGGATATTGAAATCGCTTATCAGAACAGAAGGCCTCACTCTAATACACCAAAAAAGCTCGTAATCTTTGACTAAGTGCTTTCATTAGCTAGTCACTTAGAGCTCTCACTTACTTTGCTGGGACTCTTGGTAAGACTCATTTCCATAATAACACTCCTTCGCCATACAGCCAAGAAGAAGTCGAGAAATGAAGTATCGGAGATGGGTGGAACTATCTTCCCTGGTCAGGTGGATAGGATGTTCCAAGCAGAACTCCAGAATGGGAATTTCGCCATCTCTTAAATTGCCATTTTTTGCAGATCCAAGTACAGAAAAGGGCTAATCGGTAACTTGGAATGTTCCGCATTTGGTGATCCTCTGACATTCTACTTCGACCAATATTATTTCTTCCTGTTGCTATGATAATGTACTGCCAACTTTTTAGTCGTTGATATCAGTAGAATTGTGTCAAAGCTTCTAACAACCTAAGACAATCCCTCCTGCATTTTATGCAGCACAGTAGACCCAAGAGGCAACACGTGACTGCTCTCTGGTAAGACCACAGCAGTTTTATCTGCCAAAAGCATGAATTCCTCCTCGTTGGCGTGTGTGTTTAATGTGCGGATTAAAGCCCAATTTTGCTGGGAACGCCTGCAAAACGCTCCCTTTTCGGTTTTCTGGAAGTTTTCCCTTACAAGGCTAATTTTTAAACATCTTAGAACGTTGCACTCTTGCTCATTTGCCATAGCTGGAACTATTTCACACTCCCGGCGGTCTGTGTCATGTTCGCGCGTGCCAGACGCCCTTCTTTACTCCATATCGTCCCATATCGAAGTCTTGTCTGTTGATTACCCTGGTTGGGAGCTCGACAGAATCTTAGCTTACGCTCTCAAACTCCAGCTTACAGCGAGGTTGTGCAGTCATGCAGTATTCAGCAAGAAGATGTTTAAACAGAGGCAGTTATGCCCCTACAGGTCCATGGTGGTCTCGGTCATGTTGGAGCCCAGATCACAGCCTCGGAAATCATTTCTGTGACTGTTTGACGAAATGGGGAGTTAGCTGCAAAAATATTTCACCGTCTCTAATGGTTGGAACTGCGGAACTGAGAGATACACTGATGACAAAGGTAGGCAGAAATCTGGAGACAGTAGACAATTTACATGTGAGTGGAGCGCCAGGTTGTTTACTTCCACTACCAGCGTTTCTGAGGGAAACTGGGTCTCCACAGCCGGTGATGAAAATCACTTTGCGGGTCATGGTTGTTTTTGATTTTGCAGCCCAGTGGGAGCCAGCGTGTTCGCCAGTACCACAGCCACGATGGGTCTGTCGATACTGTACGTGAGCACAAACAGTCTCGTGGCTAGTCTGGCGGCGGGCAATCTCCTGCTCTATACCTGCGTATACACTCCGCTGAAACGCATCTCCCAGGTGAACACGTGGGTGGGCTCCCTGGTTGGCGCCATTCCACCGCTCATGGGCTGGGCCGCAGCCACTGGTTCTCTACATTCGGGTACGTGTCCTTGTAGACGTGGAAACTTTTATTTGATTTAACGGAGGCGGTTATTGTCTCCGGAATTTGACAGCTTCTGGTAAAATGGTAGTGAACATCATTCCAATACTACTTAGCTATCACTTTGGAGTCGTTATTTCATCGGCCGTCTTGCAGACTTGAGTTTATTTTTATCCATCCTGCTAAATCCGCGCTACTTCTTTTTACCAGGCTCCCTGGTGTTAGCCTGTCTGGTTTACGCCTGGCAGTTTCCCCACTTTATGTCTCTATCATGGCTGGCACGACAGGAGTACGCTCACGCCGGCTACGTCATGACAGCCAACGTGACACCGCAGCGCGCCAGAGCTGCGGCACTGCGTCACTCCCTCCTCGCCAGCCTCATCTGCTTCCTCGGTGCCGGCGGTGCGAGTGCAGGTCAGGTGAATTGGTGTGGAGGCCTCGTGGCGGCTCCGTTCAATGCTATGCTGGTGTACTACGCGCTGCGTTTCTACTCCACACCTCTAGAGAATGCCGGGGCGGTGTGTAGTGCAGCGCGCGGTCTCTTTCGTGCGTCTTTGCTTCACCTGCCCGCGGTGATGACTGCCCTTCTTGTCTGCTCTCATTGTGGGTTCGCGACCGGTGCTGTTTGATTGGTTGAATCTTTTTATAGACGAAAAACTTGCATTCCCACAGCTACCATCGCTGCGGCCTCAGCCACCATTGCTTTTTTACTGGAGGACAGGAGGAGTCTTACAGTTTATCTTCAACCTCTAGCTTTTGATGAAATAGAAGTAATATGATGTATTTTTGTGAGAAATCTGGCTAATTTTATGCAATTAAATTGAGGGAAAAAAAAGGTACTGTAAACAAGGTGGAGACGCTCTTACTCCTCAGGACGAAATTTGAGTGACGCAAGATTTGTGACTAGGTGATGCTAACAATAAGCCGCTGGAAGGCCCTGGAAGGATGATCTCAGGACATATAACAAACCCATGTATTCTGAGCCACAAACAACGCAATTGGCCATAACTCCAAAATGCCGAGAAGACCCTGAATTTACTCGTTAGTTAGGAGTAAAATAAGTAACTAGAAAATAGGAGGTCCCCGAAGTATCACATCATATTCCCTATTTCCCACCCTCAAAACAAAAACAAGTTCAAAATGAATATAGAGATACCCATATATTACAGACTGCTAAAAAGGTATAAATCAGTAAGATGATTACGCTATTCAATCCTCTCCTTTCTTCCTACTCCACTTTTCTTCTCCTTCCTTCGCCTCTTGCGCCGAATCTCATCATCGAAATCTCCGCCGGGAGATTCCACGGAGGACGCCCCGCCACCACCGCTGGAGGGTATAAAGGAAAAATCTTCTGTAGAACGCCGGATTGCAGCGGCTGGTGGTGGGGTTGCGAAGTAACCCGCAGAAGTCGCTGGTTTTGAAACGCCGGCAGTTGCCGCCGCAACATTCACCAGCGGTCCAGAATGCGGTGCCGTTGCGGCGGAGGTAACGGAAGGGGCAACAGCTGCCGCATTCGGTGGATGGTGGTGGTGATGATGGTGCTGCTGCTGTTGATTGCGGAGCAGTAGAGTTGCAGCAGCAGGAGAAAATGTAGAGGCAGAGGCAGAAGTAGTGACAGAAGGCCCAATCGCAGATTCTGAGGCAATGGCACCAGCACTAGCGCGATGGACGTCACGGCGACGCTTTCGAACGCTAGAAGGAGTGATAGTGGTGCCCTCGGTCAATGCTGTGCCATTGCTAGGGGCGACGGAAGTGGTGGGGGGAGATGCAGCCATGAAGAGAGCCATGTACTCCTGGGGAAGTTGGCCAGTGTGTAAACGGACTGCAGGATCTAGTTGGCTAGGTGGAAAGATGGTCAATTCCTTGCCCCGGATAGGCGGGCGTTCAATCAAGCCCTAGAAATAATGGGATAAAGGCAGCCTACCAAAATGGTCTACCATTAGTCCACTATCGTCTGCAGAAGCAGGCATGTTCACATTTCCTGACAAATGAGGAAGAAAGCCGGAGAGCTCGTCCTTGAGATTTCCACGGAAGTACTTTTGATAAGCGTTTTTGAGTCCATAATGCTCGATGAGATTCGTAGCACCGGTTATTTGGTTTTCTGTCATAGGCCATTCGGTATCCAGAAGGTAGAAAGGTTCACAAGGAGCAACTGAACGATTAGTTCCTGTCCCAACAATTTTAAATTTGTTCGGGAAGTACTGAGGGTGCTGCTGAAGAGAGAAATTTGGCCCATAGGACATCGTCGACCGCGTTAACACTACTCGAGCAATATCGAATGCACCCCCCTCGGTAACACACATTCAAACAAATATCGTTTAAGTGTTAAAAACAGCACCTCTAAACAAAACTAATAATTGCTAAAGCCCATTGCATTTTGCAGCTACAACCAAAAAGAGTATAGCTGCAATTTTTTTGCCTTTTTCTGCTGCAAACTGGCTTAGAAATAATCTTATTGGCAAAAGTATAATTCACAACTTGTCCCTTCAGTATATTCTGAAAACCAGCCCTTACGCTTATTATCTTTTCAGATAACTCATGATTACTCTGGTTTCGGCCTACCTCCATAGTCCTTAGTTGCTTATACATGGAGGTGCTGTTTAAATCCAACTCGCCTCTTTAATCGTAAAGGTGCATAAGGGTTCAACCAAATTGGCAGTGCCAGAATGAAAAATATCCAGTAGGCCATTAGCTTGGCACGACGCCCCTGTTCCAGGGTGAGAGTACAAAGCTCCGGAGACTGAAGAGCTCATTTATTTAAGCATGCCGTTAAACGGAATGTAAGATCAACGCGGCCTCTGCGCCTAAAGAATAAAGACTTTTGGTAAACAATCCCTCAGAAGCTAAATAAAGAGCCCTTGACAGTTTTTTTGAATTTTTAATGCAA